ACATTTGTCGTGGGCCCTAGGCTCGGTTTTTCCACTATGCCCTAGTCATTCTATCCCCTTCCTCTGGGAACATTAATGTCATAGACTTCTTTTAAAAGTACCCACTTTTGCTTAGAGTATATCCCTCCTTCCTTATTTCCTCAGTTAGCAATCTCACAAATATATATAAAAAGTGAATTTATCCTATTTCGTTTAAGGTGATTAAGGGACTGATAATCGAATTTTTCCCACAATTATATGAGTAGACCCTACATTTCCATTGAATTTGACATAGCCGTGCTTCCCCAAAAGGTATTCTCATTCAGAGTGGGCTATAGTTTCGAACTCGCCTAGCTCTTATCAACGCTCCCAGTGGGACTCGAACCACTACAGTATGGTGTATAATCTCGACACGTTAGCCACTACGCCACACTGCTACGAATGTCCTTGGGTCAAAGGGCAAGCCATGAACATTTTCCTATATCACATTCAGTGGTAAAATAGTCGATGAAGCAACTTTGTATTTTCTATAGCAATCAACTATGTTACTTATGCTTCGTTTATAGGTAGACGCCCCGTTACACAAAAGCCCTCATGGCAATGTGGCATGGTGACTGACGCGTCGAGATTATACGCTGCACTGTCATGGTTCGAGTCTCGTCGGAGGTCTTGAAAAAACTAAGCGAGGTCAGAACTGCAGCCCATCCTGGATGATAATACTTTTTGGGAAAGCAAGGATAAATTAAATTCAATGGAAATGTAGTCTACTTATATAATTTTTTGAAAAATTCAAATGCCAATCCACTGTCTGATGCTGGGAATTATGACAACAACTATGGCAGAGGACTTCGGACAAGGTGTGTTCTACTAAGTCGCCCTGACAACAAGACCAAGTCGCGACAAAGAGGTCAACCCACTTCTAAAATAATGTGAACTCTCTAATCTACAAATCAAGCCACTTTAGCTAGTAAAGAATCTTATCGTATGGATAAGGAAAAGCTAGACTTTTTTAACTAACCGAAATCTCTTGGACGGCCTCATCTGCTTCAGCCAACTCTTTGGTTCCATCTCGCCCACGAAGCATGGAAATCGCTTCCAAATCTTGTTTTGATGGATTCTCCCAATCAATTGATAAATCGATAGCCAGATTCACGAGCTTCTCATCAAAACTCGCCTTTCTGTTGTCCAAACAAATGGCGTACGGCTTTGACTTCATATCGAGCGGTACACGAATACTAAAAAGGAATAAAAGACGGAGTAAGACGTCAGAATGTGGAAAAATAATTTTTAAAGTACAAATGGCCTTCCAGATACCGAGATAATCATATGGCGGAGTTAGCAACAAAGTAGTGTCATTAGCATGAAGTAAAATTTTATTTAAATTTTGGTACCAAGGGTTTAAGCCTATGTACGAAAAATAAGTGCTTTCCAAAGAACCTTCTAAATTTTAGTGAATCATTGTATGCTCAAAGAAGTCACAAGAACGACCGATATCTGATGATGTCTGCTATGACGGAAAGTTTAGTATTGGAATGCTTTTTAAATTGCTTGAAGAGGCACATAGAAGGAATTCGTAAGTTTGCCCTACCGGAAGCACCACTTGTAGCAGTAAGTGTAGATTTGTGCGAATAAGTACTCAGCTTCCCATCTCGCGATCCTGATAAATTCTTGCAGGACAGTAAGACAAGGACTGATTACCATAAATCTATAATCAGCTATAGGGTGATCCTCCTTCGTCTTCTGGCTAGGCTAACTTATAAATTGCTTCCATTCACATCTTCAGACA